AATAGGGAAGAAATTCTACTTTGTGTTTAGAAATGTTGTTTCCTTCTGCTTCTTTTACTACCGTGGCCTTAGGATTAATTTTTATTTCCCTGAACAGCTGTAAAACAGTCAATAAGTTTCTAAATGATCATTCATCACTTAACCAATCAGCCGTCAAATGCCTCTAGATTACGTAAGATTATTTCCTATTTTTTAAACATTGTTATTTCTCAGACACTTTTATCTATTCTCTTAATAGGTGCACCGTCCGTGGCACATGATTAATTACATGATATGGGAATTTTCTCCCACGTTTTCCAATGGTTCTCTAACCAATGTCAGCTCATGAAGAAATCCTGTAACCAATCAACCAAATCCCTACAAACCAACACTTGAATATCAATAAGATACTCACTGGCGACTGGCCCTATTCAGGCAAGTAGTTACCTGGGGTTCCAGTAGGAAGTCGTGACCAGTAGGGTGTAGCAGGTCGGGTGTGAGGACAAATACTAGCCGAAGACATTGGTTAGGGGTCGCGCTATATCGTGAATTGGCAGAAGTTAGAATTCATGGGCTGGCCATTGGATCGAGTCCCAGTGGCCTAATGGTATACGAGCTCGCCTTGTAACCAGAAGGTCCTGGGTTCGAACACGTGGTGTGGGTGTGCACTGATGAAGAGCCTCAAACTATGACGAAGCAGATGTCCAGTACTCCAAGGTATTCCAATGGTTCTCTAACCAATGTCAGCTCATGAGGAAATCCTGTAACCAATTTTTCATACGTTGGGGAAATCCATGTTTTGTATCTTTTCAAATCAGTTCAGTAGGGGAACTTGTGCGAGTAATATGCTTACACTAGTGGTCACTTAGCAACACTGCCAACCAATGTGATGGATAAGTTAGTTGATATCGGTTCAATTTATTCTTACCAATTAAATAATCAGTCGCCGGTACCACAGTAATACAAGTAGTAACTCAAACATTTAAAATATTTACTGATGAAAAGGGATGGTGCAACTGGATTTAAGAAACAAAAGGCGAAGTGAAGTATGTACTTTAAAAAAAAAACTAATATGTTTGGAGATATTTTGACTTGTGTTCTGATAAAAAACTCACTACATCCTTCTTTACAACTGTTAGGAGTGTGGCTGCTGAAAACTCTGGTTATGACAACAGTTGTGTGAGTTCTGTTTCCTATGTTAAGTGGCATAATATATAGTTAGCGATATTAGGATGAAGCATACAGTGTTAGGTGAAGAGAAGAAGTCAGTCAACGAGGATGTGGTGGCTACGATACGAGTTGAGAATACCGAGTCATCGCCTTCTTTATCAAGCACCAGTGGATGATGGTGGACTGGAAAGGAGTGGAAAACGGTTAAGCGGCGGGGGAAGGGGAAGGGAAATAAAAACCTGTCATTATTCCTGAAATCTATGAATTCCTTGACTATTGGACTGAACAAGAGATAATGTGTACACTGCCTAACTAAAGTCCTCGAGATACCGAAATCAAATGTTGGAGACAGTTAGTGATATGGCTAGCAATCATCCGCAATGGTTCAGATTCATTAGATGCCCATTATTCTCCATGTAGTTTTTCTTTTTTGGATTACATTTCCGTTATTGATGGCTTCTTTGCCATACTTTTATTCTCTATCTTTATTTTGGCGTTTATGAAATATGGAGACTTGAACTGATACACTTTCTTGCAAATTCGCACACTGAAATCTCAATATGTTTGAATACTAAAATCTTTAGGTTGTTATTATTAACCTTAAGGATATGTTTTATATACAAACCGACTAAAAATAACTTCAAGTTTAGGAAATAACCATCCTGTTCAACACAAAGTAGGCATAAGGAACTTATACAGAGGACTTCCGATTTTCATTTCCATGCATTTAAGGTAGAAAACAGAGCTTCAAACTTGAGCTTGGAAATTGTAGGGGCACTGGTTTGAGGTTGATAGCCTCACCCACAACTTTCCTTCGTTTTCAGGTTGAATGACTGCTAAACAAAGTTTAGCAGTGCTGCACAGGCCAGAAATCTAATTTATCCCTCCTACGTAGCTGGATAGCATTCTGAAGATTATTAATTCCCTACTAAATTTTGGCTTAAAGCTGTAGATTTTTTACGACAGCGTATGGTTTTTAGTCAACTCATATATTCAACACACTTTAAGCTAATTGAAAATAAGTCATTCTGAGAGATTTCAGACAGATGAATGAGGCTTATTAGTAATGTTCCTTCATAAAGTGGTGATTGGTGTAGATGACTGACGTCAACAGACTGGTTTTTACATACTCCAGGAAAATTTAATAAATTCAGTGTCAACATTAGTTAGTCTTTTAAATGACTAGTGTAACACACCAACTCTACTGTAGATCCGTTTAAATATTAGCCAAATCATAAGTATGTTACATAAAAAATCGATTCCAAACTCATCTTTAGGTGTTACTGCATTTATTATAATCCTTTGATTGGTCCTTTTGCTTTCCGTGTGAGACATAAGGCTTTAAACTTGAGCTTTGAAGTGTCATTCGGTGTTGTTTTCTAAGGTGTGTGACTACTAGCCATGTATTCAACCTTTTTGCTCCTCCTGGTTTACTGTCTGTCGTCCAACAAGCTACACGAGATGTAAGAGTGCGTCAACAGGGGATCAAAACTGACCTCCCTTGTGGTTGGTAAGCATTCTACCATTGAACTACACGCCTTACCATAAGATGCTTACAAGGAAATGAATACAAACAGTAGCCAGTG